TGCTGGTGGATCGCAATGAGGTGCTCAAAAGCCAGCAAGACAAATGTATGTTGTGGACAAAATTGTCTTTGCAATGAAGTTTGTAGCTTCAAGAAAGAATCGATCTGCCTGAAGTTACAGCGATTTGAAAATTTTTTTCGCAAGTTCCCGGGAACTTCTTCACGACCTGATAACTCAAACTTTGTAAGTGCGTTCGTTTGGTTGTTCGTTCATTAGAAACGCCCGCCAATGAACCGATTGAGCTGGAACATTGCACACATATGTACTCGACCCCGGAGGTGGTTGCGCTACTTTTTGCGGCAATTTGCTGGGCCATTCCATTGATTTATTGACTTTTGGCAAAAGAATGAGTTCCCAACATCGGCTAACAAGTCAATTCCATGATTTTGTGTAAACAATAGCATCGATTTCCGCGGTAGGAAGGATGCGGTGATTCAAGACGAGCCCACAGCGGGTGAGTTACTTGATACAGACCCCTTGAAGCGCAGCATTCTGGCTAGGTGGGAAGGGGAGGCGGAGGGGGGGGGGGGCTGGAGCAAGGACTAGCTGACGTGACCGGGCTAGACTGGGAAAATCAGCTATAAAAAAATATCACACTTGTTTGCATCATTTGAGGACTAGCACGATTATAGCAACTCATTTTATACAAAATGCACATTCAATATTTGGCTACAATAAACGCCCTAACTTCTCGTACATAAACGTTTTGCAAATAAGGTAGGCGGATTAGGGAGCAGCGTTTTATGCCCTTCAATATGGTATAGATGAATTAGAAAGGTCAATTCGACTAAATAAGCTTCCCTTGTAAGTACATCGGGGTGTATTCCTCGCGAAGCAAAACGTCCTTTAGGAAGATCTCCAACGAGATGGGCAGGCGTATTCGTGGAAAGGATGGACCAGCTGAGAAATCAGGTGGATACGATTTTTGCACCTGGCACTCGTGGAGCGCAGCGCAAGCCAAGAAGATCATGGCTGATGAAAGCGAGAAAAAGGGAAAAATGAAAACTTCTGTGCTGGGGTCCGCACGTCACGTGAAGCCGGGTCATCTAAATATCCAAAGAAGTTTTGTATTTTTTCAATTTCCTTTTCACAACTTTGAACTTTTTTGGAACGATTGATTTAATTTTAAAAGAATTGCATAGCACCTAATTGCACCAAATACTGCAAAAAGGGTAGAGGAACGAACACCTCAGTTAGGGCACCCCCTCCGCGACTACTCGTCCTAACATGATGCACACAGTAGAACGAAAGAACCCAGCAGCCTGCGGAGGCGTGGCCCACTTGTGTTCATTCCTCTACCCCCGCGAAAATTCAGAATATTGAAGTTTTGAAACTCGATTACTACTCACTAAGCTAACGAAGTAGATAATTTCTGAATTTCGAGTACGACCGTGCGCATCCCTATAACTGAGGAATTGGCCATTTCGTGTGTAAATGTTGCATGTTTCGCAAAGAAAAAACGGCTTTAAGGCAAAGGTAAAAAAGATGCATAGAATGGTACGCGATTAATTAACCGTTTTATCACGAGATTGGAACAAGCCAGATCTGAGATTTGGTCACATTAGAAATATATTTTGATGATTTTAATAAACCTGCCAGAAAAATACAACATGTTGCACTAATTTGCGAAAGATTTGCTCTAAAAGATATTTATCAGTGCAGCGCGAATAGAAATTCTGAAAAAACCGAAAGTCAGACAAGGTCAAAATGAAGGTTCGTTCGTTTTGGTGATCGTCTCAGTGCTCGTCAATACACTCGCGTCGGGTACGTAGCTATTAAAAAGAAAAAGACATTCTAAATTGGATAACGCTAACACCATTTATTTCTCTTTACTCTACGTGAGTTGCGGGTAGGTCCAAGAAACGAAGATAACTTTTGCACCAAGTTAACTTTTACGTTGCAATTGATTCTTATTATTAAGCTCTATTGGTAATGATATGGCAGGCTTCATATGTGGAGCATAATCACCCCCATGTGCCATTTTCTGCTCCAAAATACTGGTTTAGGTAAAAAACATAATTGAAACATACTATCGTTCCAAAAGTAGTTTCGCTTTTCTAAAGGGGCACCACATTTGATGGAGCAAATATTTCTAAGAAATCTTGGTAGCATTCGATGCATAAATTCATCCTCTTTCTAAGGACTATAGACTTATTGGCGCAAAGACAATGAGCTTTTGAAAAATTGCCACAATCTGCGGCGCATGCTCTTTGAGATGCTCAAGTTCCACAATTTTTCTAATTTATCAACCTTCAAAAGAATCCAAGCAGCGGTTTGATAGAGCAAACCTCAGGGTGTACGGCGCAACTTCTTTTTCGTTTTCATATGTGTTCATAATTTTTTGAAAGATTTTTTATTAGAACCATCCGATTTTGGCAGGCTTACGTCAGCCACAATCGCATCAAACACTAATAAATCGTCGGAATCTGATAATTCCAAGGTGATATTATGATTTAACACTGATTTTACAAAATGAACGAGAGTTTGCGGAATTGTAATATCTAATTTCGAATCTTTCGGGTGCAGCCTGGGGGCGCGTTCAAAAAATTAGTTCTGATGATTTTATCTACGGCGACCAAACGAATCGGAAACAAAAAGCAACCATTAGAAAGAGGAGAAAAAGTTGCATCGAATGACACCCGAGCCTCACCGTTTAATGTTCTTCGAGGTTTAAATTACCCAAGTATGAGAACTGGTAGCATCAGTTAAAATCCTATTAAAAACATATGATGAGACATGAGGAAAAGAAAAAAGATGTTTTGTATCCTGTAGAGTTTGCTCTATCTACCTGCTGCTTGTGCTTCTTTGAAGGTTTGATATGAAAATTTTGAAAATTAGCTTTGATCATGGCAAAAAGCATGGTCCCGGATTTTGGAGATTTTCAGAGAGCTTATTGAATGTTCTGCAATAAGTTTGTAATCGTTAGAAAGAGGATAAAATTCTGTATCAAACGCTACCAAAATCTCTCAGAAAACTTTGTTCCATCAGAAATGGCGCCCCTTTGAAAAAAGCGAAATTACTTTCGGAACAACCTTATATTTAAAGAGAAGCGCAAAAAATGTGGGCCAACATAATTCGAACTTTCATCGGTCACCTGTGATTAGAGACACTAACATTAACCACTAGCCCATGACCACGTCCGGAGTAACCATGCACCTCCCAGACAAGCATGCGCCAGGTACTTCGAAGGGATATAACTTGCTCCAAAATAAGGCATCGCAGTTGATGGGAGCGCACTTTTGGCACTAATCTCTCAAGCCTTACGTCCGAGGTATACACCGCATCTCAACCAACCGATTGATCTTATAGGCTCCTTTTTTTTCAATTTTTAAGGAAAGGCTCCTAACTTAGCTCGGCTTTTTGATAAATCTACATGATCTGAATCTAATGGTAAGGTTCTATGTGCAGTGTGTGTAAACAAGTTTGAATGAAACAGCTTACATGATTGCTGCAGACATTGGGCAACATAGTTATACAAAACCAGTGCGTCACCTCTGCTTCGCAGAGGCTATTTTCTGTATGCCTTACTCATTCCCGCATAATAATGACATTGAAACTCACCGCGCTATGTAGGCTATCACGAATAATTCGTAAACAACTACTCATTCGTAGAGGTTTTCCATGTGAAATCGGTATTTTCGCGTGAATAAAATTTCTCCCAGAAGAACAGATGCAAATTCGAATAGGTTTTTGAGATTTTTATGGCTTGGTAGTTGCCGTAAGGACAATAAACATAGTGGGCTACATCTCTGTGCAAAAATCTTCTCAAATGATCAGGTAAAGTCTTGAAAATTTGACCGTTTACACGGCGAATGCTTTTTGGCGTTGCTTTCGTAAAGTAGTAGACTTTTCATTACTTTTTTAGGCTAGCGTTCATGGCTTGCACATTAGCTTGTCAAATATACCCTTAGCTCTGCAAAAAGAAGTACTACGGACCCAAATTTGCTGACCAGAAGCCAAGTAAATCCGTTTGACGAGCAATTTTCAATGGATCCACTCAAGGATCCGCTCATGCTTTTGTATAGTGAGCTTTTATGCTGGAAGCGTGCGCTGTGCAAAATTTGGGCTCAGGACGTTGGCTGGAACACGCTTTACGAATTTCGTGACAGACAGAGATTCACACTGACAGACAGACAGACAAACGTAAACAACCCTTAGCCCGTTATTATAAGTTACTAGTTGGCTTTCCCGGTCCAGCCCGGGCCATAGTTCAACTCACTGCGAGCGCCTCCCCCCTCCCCCGCCCTATATGGTAAGATGACTTACCCTGGGACATCCGCTTGGAAACCGCATCCTCGTGATCCTGAGGTGAAAATGAGCTTCACCGCCCTCCCTTACATGAGTATGGAAAATGCTTGATTGAACATGATAACGCTTCAATTCCTTAGGAAAATGTAAACAATTCAATGAATCGATAGAAGGACCCAACGAATCGCCGCAAAAAGTAGCCTATCATCTGCGCAAGGGTAAAGAACGTATGTGTGCAAAGTTTCAGCTGAATCGGTTGAGTGGCGCGCGTTTCTATAACGCACATACCCTCCAAACTGACAATTTTTGAGTTATATATACATATATATATATATATATATATATATAGATGACTAGTTGACTTACCCGGCTCCGCCCGGCCCTGTCATTATTATATTCGTAATCAGCATGCTCGATTACCCCCCCCCCTATTACTCCCAGCCCCGTAGCTCAAATTTTGCAAAAAATCGATAAAATCGATATTGATCGATGACGAAAAGTAGCCTATGACACCCGCCGGGGTCCGAAGTGTATGTGTGCCAAGTTTGGTCCGGATCGGTTCAGAAATGGAATTTTCTATTCGGAACATACGTACACACAGACAGACAGACAAACAGACATTCAGCTTTATATATAAGATGATATGGTAGGTTCTTCGTCATTCGCCTCTAGGCTCATATAATACGCTAGTATATCAACGTTTGGCGTACCTTGCTGTGCCAAAATTTGTCCACATCACAGCTAAAACATACCTGCAGCTTGGTAACAAGCTAGACCTTGAATTTCCTCCCCTGTCGGGTTTTCTCCTTCAAATACGCCCCATCGTCCGTTCACACATACGATTCGAAACATTGCTTTGAACTGGTCCACTGGTACTGAAAGTGGTTGATGAAAATCGTTTGCTTGACTTTTTGGATGGCTCTCCATATTTATTGAATTGTCTGTTTCTTAGGTGATTCATGAATGGGAAGCTCAGAGCCGATGTACATCACAGATACGACAGGACACCATACGTACGGATATTTATAGCACCTGATCAACTTTAGTGGATCGTAAGCAAAACCACAAACTACGAATGAGCAGTGCTAAGTTGATTGAGCCCTACTTTTTTCTGACGTTGAGTTTGAAAAACTAAACACTCTTATTATCGGTGACTTCATATCATTGGAATTTCACAAGGTAGGACTTTGTGCGTATTTTGAGAATCTTTCTTCAAAAAAAGTAGCTTTTCAATATGGTGTCCCAAAAGTGCTCATGCCCGTTGACAGCTTTCTTGGTCTACTGTACTTTGCTGCTATTAAATAAATGACCATCGTCTAGCTTCAACTTACAGTTGTTTGAACTGGCGCAATGACAGAACTGGCTGCAGCAGCCGCAATAGTCGCTACAGCTTGAGCGTGGAAAAAATCGGTCTAATGATTATTATTTAGTTTCTTCTTTGCCACGGCAGGTTTTTATAGCAATAATTTATTGTGCTGCCTAACGTTCTGGCGAATACCCGTCCTCAAAGGCCTGAAAATGAGTCAATCACCTTCATCAAACGCGTTATCTCATCAAACGCTTCGACCAATCCGTACGTTTGACTCTTTTAATGCAACCGCAGTCCAGCGTCCAAGCTCGATCAACTGGTTATACGCAAATTTGTCTAATAATGACGCCCTACAAGTACTTTCTGAGCTCCTTGATACACACATTGCAAGTTTGGAAACGTACGAACTCAGTAAAGTGCGCATCATCACTCTTATCAAGGAATGCCTTAGATGCAACATCTTTGAATGGTCGGGCAAGTTTTACGCACAAGTAACAGGGCTGGCGATGGTACAAAGACTAGCACCGGTTTTTGCGCCTTATGAGCAAGATAGAAGAGCCTGTATCGACGTCCCCTAATGTACTGTCGCTATATAGACGATTGTTACATTGTGACTTCTACTCAGTCCAAAAAGGATGAGTGCTGATCCTCAATGAATGATCGCAGTGCATTAGCTTAACTAGGGAGAAACCACACGATAACTGGTACTCTAACTTAACGCACAGGTGATGATGGCAAACAACTCTGTACACATTAAATGGTATCGGAAAGAGAGCAGCAAGAACATCATCTTACACGCCACTTCCGCAACATGTTTAAGGCAGTGTGTGCAGCGGAAAAAATGAGAGACTTAAGTCTCTGGAAGATACACGCCATAGCTCCCAAAAATGGATACTCGCTGCACTCCAAAGCCTTCAAACGAATATGCATGAGCACAAGCAACCAAAGTCGAACACGTGTTCCATTATGCTTGCCGTTTATATCCGACAGAGTGACCAACGCAATCAAGCGATGTATAATGCAAGCACAGTTGGATAATGTTGTTCTAGTAAATTTACCACAACACAACATCAAGAAACAACTGGTTCGAAATCGATTATACGGTAGAGCTTGCAATCGCAAAACTGTGCTGTGTGCACAGACGAGACCTGTCGACCGCATTTTGTACGTGTAAATGGACATCTATCCAGTAAAAAAAGCAGGGCCTTGCAAGCCTATTGGGGAAACATGGAAGATCACGGCGGCACTTTGAAATAAATTGCAGCATACTGGCAATCGAGGATAATATCTCTGCTCGAAAGTTGTAGATGCCGCGTTCATTCTTACTCATAACCCGAAATTGAATAGGATGAATGAACAGTTGTCCGTAACGAATGATCTGAATCCGTTCTTATCATTCTGTGATTTCGATAGCCTGTAGCTACTTAAACATGTCCAAAGCAGTTGGACTGTTTATTGTCAGCGTTCACTGTAGGCGACCTAAAGAGTTTCTATCGTGCTCTGGGAGTCTTGGTAAGTTGATCGAGCTTGGACATTGGACTGCGGTTGCATTGGACGAGTCAAACGTACGGGTTGGTCGAAGCGTTTGATGGCATAATGCGTTTGATGAAGGTAATTGACTCACTTGCAGGCCTTTGAGGGCGGCGTATCTGCCGAAACGTTAGGCAGCACAATAAATTATTGCTGTAAAAACCTGCCGTGGCAAAGAAGATACTGAATAATATTCATCGATTATGCCAAGGTTCAAACAAAGGAGAACTTTTGAGTTATCATAATAATTGTCAGTTTTTTCGCCTGGTCCTTGAGTTCGCTTTGATTCTACAGTGTATTTATTGCTGAGGTTGTTGTTGAGTGCGAGTATGTTTTTCAAAAGAAATACTCTTTGCTTCAATAATTGATAAGATAGCAAGAAAGCAGAAAGGTATAGCGCACTTCTATTGAAAAACTGTAATCTTGCGCACTTTAACAGCTTCATCAGTCAACATAAGAGTTATGACGGAGAATTGAACTCAACAGGTGACAGAATATATACAGGCAGAAACAGCTCCAGCAAGAACAGGTCATAGATTGAGGAACACGAGCAGAAGGGCGTTTGTGAGTCTAAGTCTAAAATTCGATTGGAGTCATTAAAGTGAGGAGTTATAACTTTCCCAATCGCAATTTACCGTTTCTGACGTAAAACTGCCACAGTTCTTCTTGTGCGCTCAGAATTATAAAGTGCAATACATTTGTGTTTTCAAAGAACTTTTTCAGCATTATGCAAGCTAGCTATTTCGAAGGTTGTCTTCGCGAAGTCGTGTCATACACGAACGCATAAGCACTGAATTTTCCAAATTTGAAAGTTTAATTGGTTGTTATTCTACGACAGTTTTAGATGGCAAATGAACGTTTAGTGAATTTTTTTCCAATACATCAATTTTTAAATCGGAGTACAACCGTTGGCGCATTCAGAATAATCATAATGATCCGCAAATCCATAATCCTTAGCAATTGGAAGGAAATCAGCTCCAGTCAAATTCGAACAAGAAGCTGCACCTGACACCCTATGCACTTTAATTTTCGTTTTATGGGCCAATTTCCTAATTGGAATGCAGTAAAATCAGAGATTATCTAGAAATTTCGAAAGCCAAAAAAGCCGAAATATGCTTGAAATTACACCTTAGTTCCTACATATTTTTGATATTAAAGCTCCCCCAAATGTATTGAGAAATCTGAATTGCTGAGTTTGACATGAGGTAATTTGAACAATTATACAAGGGACCACAAGCAGAACTAATGAAGCATGCCTGCTGAAAAAAAGAAATGTTGTCTCATACAGTATCAAAGCATTTGCATATCTCGAACGCAACGTCCACCTTGATTCTCGACTTCCAGGTTCTTGTCGCTTGGGGCCTTCTCATGTCCCTGTTTTCGAATATGAAGCCGCGAATCCCCAAAAACCCTGACAATCTCCATTCCGTAAAACTCGCATGCCGGTTATCCAAAACGTTGATCGGATGGACGGGCATTACTGAAGGGAGACGGTGCCAACTGAGGGAATGCCTCTTCGCTATTCCGAAGCGATTTCATCGCTTTCGAGGCAACATTTCGAGCCGCGAGTGAGGCATTGGCTTAAGGGTGTTTACTATTGTAAGCTGCCAAAAGCTCAAAATTCCCAAATTAGGGTGAACGAGGCCTTTAAAGGCAGCAGCTCGCCAAAACCGAACATCCCGAAATTTTGACATGGAAGGTTGCTTGCGCCCCAAACATGAGAAGAGCAGGTCCGCGCGCACCATGCTGCCCTTGCCTAAAAAACTGCTCTCAAGCCCGTTACCGCAAGCCATTCTAATACGCGCAGACGAGATTGCGATTCTCCCTGCCTCGTCAGAGGAGGCATGCTGCAATTTCATAATTGCGAGGGTCCCGCAACGATTCTGCCTCTCCAACCATGGCGGGACGTGCTCCACTCGTCCAAATTCAGAATGGCAGGCCTTGGGAAATGGTGGATTTTGCCATTCTCGCGCTCTTCAAGGTGCGTTTTCGGAATCAGCGCCCCGAATTACGCAGGTAAGCAAAAAACTTCAGTAGAAAGTCTGCCGAGCCGCTGCGTTTAAAGGCAGTCGCTCGGCAAATCTCAACCTAGTCAAATTTTCGCTTACTTGTGGTCATTCAATACGCTGATCCCTTAAAGGCGAAAACGAGCGTTTTCAATGCCCTTCCCTTTGGAATTGGACTAGTGGAGCAGTGCTGATGACGCCGAATTGTTGCAGGACCCAATGGTTATAGCATTGCGGCAGGCAACCTCCAATAATGAGAAGGAAATTGCCAACTCGTCCGGACGCATGTAAGATTAGCATGCGCGTGTAAGGTTTAAGAGCAATATTCTTGGCAGAGAAGGCATGTTGTGCAACCGGGATTGCACTGTTTTCATACTTGGGCTATAAGGAACCCACATAAAATCCTAAGTTGTTGAGATTTGCCGACCCACACAGTTTTGCCTTTAAGCGTGTTGCAGGTCAAAAAACGGCGAGCAGTTTTGGAAGTAGCAGTAAGTTTTGCATATTTCTCATTCCAAGCAGGTCGTGCAAAAGACATTAGTCGCTCTGCGACTTGACAGACAGCAAAATACAGAGACTTTTACATCATTTTGACACCTTTACACTATGCATAAGCCGGGAGCTCTATAACGGGATGTACTTCGGTAATGACACAAATCTAGACTGCAGTGTAGCATCTTTCCAATATCATTTTTCAAAAAGCCTAACGAGCTTTCCCAGCTGGCTTCAAGCATCTAGTGAAAACAGACCAAAATGAAACTTACTGGCTTGTTCAATTGTTCCATCACTATATCTGATTCGCAGAAGAAAATTATCAGGACAATTGATGATTGCCGTCTGGCCATCGTATGTTATTCCCTTAACGAAAATTTTGGAAAGATTGATTCTACCAGTTTTCAAGTTAGCCCTCTTTGAATTAGACCCTTCCCGATCTATCTTTGGGGTTTCATAAAGAGTTCTCGAATTCTGGTAAAATCTAGGAACACAGTTGCAGCGAAAACGAAAAGCTGACAAGGTTTTTAACAAATGAAGCTTAGCAAATCAATCGTGTTTGATTGGCTTCCACTTTACAGATATTGGCGCTTTTTCGAAATGCTTGTATATCTTCGAAAATTAGGGGGTCCGGCATCGCTGTTATGCTGCTTAAACTTTTAGCTGTAAGACAGAGGACCTGAATCGATTTTTAACCTAGGTCTCTTGTTAGTTTGTTCTACGAGTTTTGGTGAGACCAAAGCAGCGGACAAATTTTTGTGGCAACCTAATATAATATTGATGAGCCGCTCGAGAATGTAGCAAATTCAAGCTTTCTTTCTTGGGAGTGAGACAACGAAAGACATCTATGATTGCATTCACACTCTTCTCAACTCTCGTTCTCCTTATAAAATAAGACAAAATGCGACGGCTAATTAATCATGTTCAAGTCATGTACATACACTGTCACTTGCGTTATGCACATTACCTGATTCCCCGAATTCTTGAATCAGATTGGTAAGGTCTATGCTGCTATGAAGCATCGTGTGTTAGAATAGACTCATCTGCTCCATGACGATTTGTCACCGCATCCTCATAGCAAAATAAAAATAAGCTTTACGGCTCGTGCTTACACAAGTATGGAAAAATGCTTGATTAAAACACGAAAGCTTTCATTTTCCCAAATGTAAGTAGTTGAATCAATAAATCGATGTAGGGATTCAGTATATCGCCGGGAAAGGCAGCCTATGGGGACTGCCGATATCAAAAATATATGTTTGAAAGATTACGCTGTCTATACTTTTATACATGACATGTGCACAGACAGACACACAGATTTCCTGCTTCATTGTAGAGGTGACTAAAATACTCATAATCAAATCATGTACATACACTGTTAGTTGCTAGAATCTGTACATGACCTGAATAGGAGTAAAACCTTTATCCTTTTTTTAAAGGCTTTTGTTCCTGAGAAAAACTGTTAACCTCTGATTAGAAGCGCTTGAAGTGAAATGCACTGTCAGTTTTGACTGGGAGATATTCAGTTCATGCTGATTTCAGTACTTTTCTTTTGCCATAGGTTGTCCTTGATTCTTGCCTAACGTTCCTGTACCATGCCGTCGTCGAATAGTTAGAATACTAATTTAATTCAAGGTCTTTGTCGCCATACATCTCACACTCGACAAAATGGTCATGTGTGGTATCAGGGACTGCGAGCAGATGTTGATTTGCCAAAGTGTGCCCTTACTCTTTAGCAGTATGAATTGCTCCAGATCGGCTTGCTGCTGCGATATTGAGAATGAGCAGTTGTGATGTCATCGGAATGCTTAAATAAAGTCGAAATCATAGTTTACAATATGTCAGGTATGGCGTCCTCCACTTATAGATGATTGTTCACATCGCCGATTGGTGATCGCCAATGGCGACAAAAATCGCCGATGTTTGAGGTCGCACATGTATCGCACAAGTATTTGGTGCATATCGATCGAAGAGGCGCTATATTCCTCGAGGAATGTAGCGCTTGTTTGAAGGAGAATGTTAGATTCTGGCTGACTTCTACTTCGATTGTCTAGAGGTTATTTGAAGTGAAAATTTTGGGATATACTAACACGTTGAAGACGAACAATTTTTTTCAATTCTCTCCCTATGGACTATACTTTGGAATATTCGAAATTTTTTGGATTAATCGAATAATCGGCTATATTCGAATAAAAATATTGAATAATCGATTTTCGAGTATTTTTAGAAACAGAAAATTTTGATTATCTGAATCATGACTTATAATAAAGCGCTAAACGTCCGTCTTTTTGTGCGTGTGTCTGTGTGTTTGTCTGTCTGTCACGAAATTTATAGAGGCAGCTGCAGCCAAGCTATCGAGCTACAATTTTGCATAGCATACCGTACCAGCGTGTAGGCCCACCATGCACAAGCACGAGCCGGTTCGATAAGCGGGTCCTTCAAAAATTGCGCCTCAAACGGGTCCACCTGCCTTTTGGCGCGCAAAACTAGGTTACAAATTCAACTTTTTGCAAAATCCTGATGTGCCTGACAAGCAAATCTGCGCTCCAAGAATTCTAGCTCAAAAAGTGCTCAAAAACTTTGCTTTTCCGCGAGAACAGCGCCAAAAAGCAGTGATAGCGTAGAGAGTCGATTTGACAAGGTTTTACATAAATATCTGAAAAGATTTTTGCATGAAAATGTAGCCCAAAATGACTATTATCTTTATAACAATTATTAAGCCAAAATAAATTCAATAATCTATTCGAATTCGTATTTATCCCTTGGCAAAAAAGTTTTCTTTCTCAAAAATACCGATCTTACATGGAGATGCTTCAAGAATGAACAGTTGTTTACAATTCACTTATGATATACAGCCTCTCGCGGTGGGTTTCAAAGTCATCATTTTGGAAGCATGAATAAGGCATACGGATAACAGAGCCAGTGCGAACCTCCGCGAAGTGAAGGTGACGCACTGGTATCGAATAATTTCGGAAATCAAAAATTCCGAATAATCGGATTTCGAATATTTTCGAACTATGAAAATTGTCGAATAATCGAATCTATTCGAGAGAAAGTCCAACAAACGAATACTTTGCATTGACTATGTCGAATATTCAAACAAATTCTGATTGAATTATTGAAACAACAAACGATTTTGCTGATATGGCAATTAAGGATGTGACGCTGTCATGCTGCACGAAATTGTCGAATAATCGAACAACTACTGAAAGTAGATATTTAAATGTTCAAATAATTGCGAAAATCATAATTTTCGAATATCCGAGTAGTCGAATAAATTCGAGATTGACAAATTTCGAGTAAGCGAATATCGAATATATTCGCCATTCTGAAATTCTCGAATAATCGAATCTCGAATAAATTTTATTCGAACACTTTCGAACAACTTTACACGAATAGAATATTTATTCAATTCGGCCCAGAATATACTATGGACGAGATAATTTCGTGCACTTTTACGCCTGACTGTATGTATAAGGGCTGCCGCGGTTTTGTTAGCCGCAGAGCGCCTGAAGCGCAGTGTCTACAACGGTGGAGATACGCACGCGCCCAGTTCGCGCCCACTCAACTAATACTGGTTCTGCGCCTTCGTCATGCAGTAGCCTTTATATGCATGCATGCGTAAAATCTGACAAGGGAAGTTCACTTATTCAAAGTGGCGATTCGGAAGGAGATCTATACCAATGGATAGAGCTCAAATAGCTGATTTCAGATATACCTTCTATATCTGCGATGCATCGTTCTGAAAATAGTTATGAGCTTTTCTAAAGCCAAATTTTCGTGCATTTCGAGTCGCAGAATCATGATAATCGCTACACAAAAGTGTGCAAGCTTAAAGGCAGTGTCCGGGCAAAAACTTGATTTTGAGATTTTGTGCTTGTACGGGCCTATTCGCCATGCTGGATCCGAAAATCCACAAGGGAAAGCGCGAAAACGGCAAAAAGGGGTTCCAGCGCATGAGGGAAACAGCAAGTAGGCGGGGTCTCCGCCACTGTAAATTCACGCTCCCATATTCCGGAGCAGTCTTCTCGGTTCCGCTAGCCGTTCTAACATCTCCACCGGCCAAGTACGAGCGCTTGACTCGAAACCGGAAGCGAGAAGATCGCTCCGAAAGCTGGGAGCGTGAATTCACAGTGGGAAGGACTCCGCCCACCTGCTGATTTCCCTCCTGTGTTAGAGCCCTTTTTCGCCGTTTTCGCGCTCTCCAATATGCATTTTCGGATTCAGCGTAGCGAATAGATCCGGGTAAGCACAAAATCTCAAAATCGAGTTTTTGCCCGGACACTGCCTTTGCTTAAGCTTGCATACTTTTGTGTAGCGATTTTCATGATTTTGCGACTCAAAATGCACGAAAATTTGGATTTAGAAAAACTCATAACTTTTTTCAGAACAACGCATCTCAGATATAGAAGGCATATCTGAGATCAGCTTTTTGAGCTCTATCTACAAGTATAGATCTCCTTCCGAATCGCCCATCGACTAAGTGAACTTCCCTTGTGAGTATACAAGTGGGCGGGCAGCTCCGATCCTTGTGGAAAGCACCGCCCACTTATCGAAAATGACGGAAATCGCTTGAAATCTATGAGTTCGTGAAAATTCCGGCATTTCTGAAAAAGTGGGCGGAGTTTGCCACCGAGGGGCGGAGTCTGCCTGACGGTGAACGGGACAAGATCAAAGCAGCTTGAGACCCCGGGAGTCATTTGCGTCCTCTTCTTTGCGTTTTAAGCACACAAATTTTTGCAGAAGGCAAATGGAGTGGGCGGAGCTTCAAAGAGGAGCGGGCGCCAACACAAAAAACTTGTGACCCTAAATTGACTACAGGGACACGTACTAGAGCGATTAGAATTTAGGGTGCGCCGCGCACCATGCGCGACGCTGTCAACAGGGACAGACTGCCTGCCGCGCACCATTGCGCGGCACGTAAATTTTAATTTTTATGTGCTCAATCGTTCGTGCTAAAAAGAACTAATGCTTTGTACTGAGTGCAAAATGGTGCCGAACTCATCTATGAAACAAAGTTGGTTATTTTGCTGAAGGTTTTTGCTAAGTAGCGCAGTACTCAAACTGCATCCAAATAATTTTTATGGCTGATCATACTTTGCAGTCTGAGACTCAAGAGTAATTCTTGCTTGTCGAGTTCATTGAATGCAAAATGTTGCATGCTGGCAGTTGCTCGGATCCCGAGATCAGATGAACACTCAAAACGAATAAGCAAGTAATTTTTTTGCCATTTGTGCGTAAGTGTTTTACTACGCTGAATTAACACTTGAAAGCATGGGAATTTAATTCTTGCGAAAGATATATTAGGTTGTCCCGAAAGTTTTGTCGGTTTCTTCAAACCACTATAAAACCACGCACAATAAACATATGAATGAGTTTTAAAGTGCATTCGATGCAACTTTCTCTTCTCTTTCTTATGGTTACATTTATGAACCGCGATCCTGTATGCTTTTTTTTGATAATTGCCAAAATTTTTCACCAGCCATTTTTATCTGCTTGAAGTTAGGCTATTTTTTAAAAATTTCCTTCCAAAGTTTCGGAGAAGGTTGAGTAAGTATCAAATAGAGCGATTCCAGGACTTTACGGAGATATTTTTTGATTTTCCTAATCTGCTGTGTTTAGCTCAAAAAATTATCTCTTCGGAGGCCTTGATTTTCAGCAAAGTCATGAAAAACGCAACTGCAGCAAAAGCAAGAAATTGAAGTTTCTGCGAATTCAAACTTGATTGTTACTAAACATTATTTATGCAACATAACCAAGTTTGATTTGCTTCAAAAATCAGCTTTTTGGAATTTTCGGTACTTTCACGTGGTAAACTTATTCAAAAAGCCGCGGTTTTACTAAATAAATAATCATAACGGACTTAATAAACGAGGCTCACGTGATCTAAAATAAGTACAATGTAGCCAAAGGTTTGCTCTACATAACAGTCACCAGCGTTCCTTGAAAATATCAGTATAAAAATTTTGAAAATTCAGGAAGTATTTGACGCTACTGCTGAGGTGCTCAAAAAGCCATGGCGATAACATCACAAAGACGGGGTAGATCAGAAAACAAATATAGCTTTGAGAAAGGGAATAAAAATCTGAATAGAATGGTACCTAGGTCGTCCATGGAATGGCTTTCTGTGAGTTTGGGTGAGCGAAGAAAAAAACTGACAAAACTTTCGGGACAACCTAATATTTTAAAGCCGACACTACACAGATCATATCGTTTTGATTTAGCTCAAATTGAATCAAACAAATCATTACCTCGCAGTCTTAACAAATTTATGAATGTGGGGCAGTGAATCAATTGAAAACTATCAACTCTTACATTTTCTGCAACGCAGTCTAACCCGGCAGGGCACAGCGATGTGTCATACAGTGGAGGACACCCTGTAAAGATGTAATTGGCGTAAAACTCATAGCTGAATGCAAATATGTTACCAATGGGAGCTGCAGGTGGAGTTGGCCATGTTGGATAACAAGCGTAGGAGAAGCAGATGAATGTGTTTGTTACAAGTGCCAGTAGCATTTATTTACAGGATCGTGTGCCGTCCCAAGTTATGTTTATTACTAGTAATAAGGAAAGCAAGTATGATATAGTTATTAAGATAGTTTTCAAAACGATACAGTTCTTCGATGAGATTATACACTAAAGCGGTGATCACCTTTTTTATACGTTACAATCTAACTTTGGCAAGTGAGATAGTGACTCAAAAGCAAACTGCACCATGCGGCAGGTGCTATACTCCTCGAGGAGTATAGCATGGCGACGATCGATATGCATTAAATACGTGTAAAACCAGCGATTTTTGTCGCCGATATTGGCGATCGCCAGTCGCTACGACGGGCGATCGCCAATCGCCAAACAAGTTACCGTTAAGTGTTGAATGTGAAAATCACTGCTCTTGCAGTTCATTCTTTTTAGGGCGACCTCACCGGCTGGTGGTACTTTATGGAAGTGGGAAATGAGTAATGTATAGCCGCCAACACTGGCGACTGGCGATCGCCAATATCGGCGACTACACGTTTGATACGTATCGATTAGCGACTGGAGATCGCCAGTCGCTACTACGAGCGATCGCCAGTCGCTACGATTGGCGATCGCCAGTCGCCAGTATTGGCGACTACACATTAAATGTGTATCGATTGGACGTGTGGTAGCTTGTTAGCGATCGATACGTATAGAGGACACAGTCGCCATGCTATACTCCTCGAGGAGTATAGCGCCTGCCTGAGATATCCACTATTTACCATTTGACAGTCCATTTTTCATTGTCTTTCGAGGAGAATAAGGCATAGGGTTTTGCCAGATCGTGAACTTCGTGTCTTCGTATCAGTATGCTCATGCAGGACGCCATGAAACACTAAACCATTTCGCAAACGAGATCGCCTATACTTCTGTACTTCTACCTGTACTTCTCACTATTCAAACTGATCAAATGGTCAAAATCTGATGGCAGAAACGTTTGACGGGAGGAAGAAAATTGAGAAAGCTCTGCTGGTGTATGCTTATAGCCGAAAACTCAACGAATTTTACGATCAACCATAGTCGTGCGTCATAGATGAAGACCGCTTCAGGCTACTGTTTTGATTGCAACTTGAAATAGTCGCTGTATTGTCCCAGTATTTGATTCCAACAAAAGCCGAATTTCTGCAAAATGTTTCTTGAGGAGCTGTCTGTGGTCACACTGGTTATGTTCACATAAGTAGACAGCATCCTATTATGTTTACATATTCAGAAATCATGCATATATATTAGGGTTTTCCAGCGATACTTGGATTGATAGTATTGCTTGAACAACTTTATAGTCGTAAAAAAGTTGAATGCTAATGTCTAATAACACTAGCAAAACTTTTCAAGTAACCTGGAATTTTATGGCAACAGTGCAGTTCACTATCACATTCTATGCGTTCTATGCAGTGAATATCTATTTGAATAGTTCCAGTAACATTCGTGCAGAAACGGTAGGCGTTTGTAGTATAAAACTAATTATCTGTTTCTGTACTGTACGTATAACGTTCAAGAGAGTAGCTCAGAGAAAACGTTTGAGCACATTACTAGTTGCAAAGCAAACCCACTCATTTTGAGGTATCTCTTTTACATATTAAATCTATAAATGCAACATGCTTTTCATTGAAGCTTCTTCAACGCTTCTTTTGCAAGTGTGCTTTTGTGTAATAAGTTCCTCATATTCCCCTATTACAATTCGTTTTTCTATAGCTGTGTGATGGAATAGTCTCGCGCAGTGCAATCAAACAAGTAGATAGTGGCCGTCGCCGGCACTTTGTTGTGAAGTCGTCAGAAACTATTGTAAGAATCTCAATTTAGGCCGTCTCAAGCTTTTTCTCAAAAAACTTCCTGGATAAAGGTGTCACTGCGACTTTGAAGAAACCACCATCGAAGCGTAAAGTTTTAAAAATTCCTCTTTAAAAAAATATTGAGAACCGCAGAAGCTGCCGGCAGCTCGTCGAAAGTTGCGAGATGGCAGCTGCCGGCAGGTCAGAAAGCACGAGAAATAACGAGAAAAAGTCGTCCTCACCTTGAATATCCCTAACACGTTGAGGTTTGGCATTATGTTGGGGCTTCTGCGGGTTTGGGTAGAGCACATATCATACAATTAACGTCAAGCAAAATCATAAAATTCGGCCTTACATCAAAATATCAACATTTTTGTCATTATTTAGGGTTCTTCTGATTGAATCGATGATATTTATGAAAGAAGAGTCTGACATCATCGCAAAAGTTTGACAGACCTTCTTTTGCCTTCATAATCTCTTTTGCAACAATCAGTCTTATCCCCATCTATGCCAATCAGCTGTTCTTTAAGGTCAACTTCCATCATGCAATATATTGATCATACCCTCTTACAGGAGCCACCTGTTAACCACCGGTCAAGTCAATTGTTTTGCGAACAGCAATCAGTGATGTGGTCTACTGGTTAGCGCAACTGAGCTCGAAGTCAATGCATGCAGGTTTCGCGAGATGTCATTGTTATGCGAAGGACTGCGCTGTCAAAATTCTTGTTTAGTCAGTAACGGCGGACTAAGATAATAACTATCAAAGCCAATAACCAGTCCGAAAGCTGCCACCGGAATTGGCAACTTCCCGCGATGTCTGCCAATTTCCCGGCATTTACGGCGCCACCAGGTAGGGTATTGAGTTGGTGCAAAAGTGATGCCGCTGTGCGGAGCGACGGATCGCGCCACACTTTTCAACGTTCATAGCTCATTTGGCGTTATCGTCGCGATTTTGTCAAATTGGCGCGATGTCGCGTCGCTTGTTTGCGGCGAACAAGGAAGCGAAGTTGGGTGATTTCTCGACCGTGTTTTCAATTTTAATGCCATATCTTGCATCTTTGCGAGTTGTGAGCGTTTTTGTCTAAAATTTTGCTGTTTTACTGTAATTTGACTTTTTTCGAATGTAGTGCGAGTACATGAAATCGCGTTCAGAGGTGTGCACGCCTCCGAGCGACTCATTCGCCACTTCGAGCAAGTTGTCGAAAATCGCGACGACTTCGTCGCGCGAGCTGTGCCCAGGGCCTTATGCATGCATCGCAGGCTCAGTCATGACGACGAGTCGAAGGTTGTACTCCTAGGGTCTTGTAGTATTTAACTGTTATTATAAGAACAGCACAGCGTCACTTTGCTGAAAACATGCAAATTTGTTCTCTTGATTTCTAGTAAGGAAAAAACACCAGGCTGACTCAAAAATAACGGCCGGTCTGCGAGTTCTCATTTTAACCTGCTAGAAATTCCTTGAGAATCCATATTTTTTGATGCGATCAAGACCATCAGAGGCGCAGCAAACTTTTCGCAATACAGCGCACATCCTCCTAAGGTTATATCACAAACGATTACAAAATCATCGACAGGTGAATTGTCACTTGTCATAACTCCCTACAAAGTTTGTTAGTATGAATGCTAAGTAGTCTATCTCGTAGCCGCAAGCCGGTAGTACAAAAGAAAATGGAAAGGGCTTAGATGAAAAGAATATGCGAAAAGAAAAGAATCAAAATTACTATCAAAATTCAATATTTTCAGCTTTTTTTGAGCATTTTTTCGTAGGCCTTAAAATTTCAAAATATGAAGTTTTTGATTTTTGCGTATAGAAGAGCTAAACTATTTTTTGCAAAAACTGCCAAGGAGACTAATTTTACGCTTACAGAAATGAGCAAAGCTTTGGCGTTTGGGTTCTTCAAAAGAAATTTATGGGCCTCAAAATGACCAAAACGACGCACTTTGAGGCGCTGATATCTCAATTTAGGTAATCTCTAAGAAAATAGTAAAGTACGCATAATGTAGGCAATTGATATTACATACAGTAGCTGAATTTCCAGAATTCCGCCATTCGCTCAGATTTCTGACCAGAAAATTATATGCAATGGCTCTGATTTCAAGTGCATTTGTGTGAAGCTTTGCAAATACTTGTAGAATGAAGGTGGAAGCTTGTTTCAACCACTGGATAGAGCAAGGAAAGAGCTTTCTGATAGTATGTTAAGTCTTTCCTTAAGAAAGAAGTTCGATGGAAAGAAGTTGTCCAGATCCAGAGCTAAAAAACGTGCATTATTTTTGCACCAACCTAATAGATTACTACCGGCCTTGGTCTACTGCCGGATCGCGCCAGGCTGGTGGCGCGAACGAGCTTTCATCACCCCAGCTTGCATGAGGCGCAAGTATCACAACGATGAATCTGCGGCAACCGCTTTGAAGTTCCTTTCTCGCCTTCTTTTAACAATTGACTTTCGCTACAATATACCGAAAGTAACAGTTGCGTAACAGACGGGCAAAGCAGCACGAACTCAAATCGAAACCTATGAAACTAGCTCACTGTGACATTGCGATCATATTGCGCACTGCTGTCTGTGTTAGACAGCCGGTATGCACCCCCAAGTGCGACATCCAAAACTTGCTTTCAGCAATCTTTCAACTTCGCAACAGAGTTTTTTGTTTGCTTTCTCGAAGAGAAGTGCGAATCAGACCTTTTTCAAATTCATGATCAGACGCTTATGAAGGTACTTCACGTATCCCAAACATCAGTCGGGCGAGGAGAACAGATCTTCGAGTGCCAAATCCAAAACATCACAGCCATCAGCTAGCTGCAGATATTTATCTCTTTAGCTACTTTCTTTTTGAAACTGGATAATCAATCCTGGCATGCTCAAGAAGCTTGCGGCGGAACGCAGAACTTGCGGCGAGGTGACCAAGTGGGACTGGTAGAAGAAGAAATATAATTTTAGAAGTTTTGGGAAGCCAGCATTAGTGTCGAGACATTGCATTGCGAATTGTTTACTCTATCTAACTACTACCAAAAATTCCCAGATTTGGACATGGTGAAAATTATAGGTTCGCACTTTCGGCAATTTATCAGTGAGCACAAGAGTAACCGGCATACGAACATGACTGCTTGAAAAAGAAAGAAAAGCTGCTTCGAAAATTTTTTATTTGCTTACGAGCGTTCTGCGTGATTTTGTAACAGCTTAAAAAACGAAAAAAAAACTTTCGTAGCGACCATATGTAAAGCTGAATGTC